GTCTTCTGTCCCACTTCAAGGAACTAGGAACATGTTAATCCTCTCACTTGCATTCCTCTGTAATTGAGCAAAGGACACTTAGCATCTCCTCGATGACATCTGACCATCTAACATCTGACAGGAATGATTATTTGTTATAACTCACTTTTGCTAAAGTTGGTGTTTTATTTTTATGGATCTTTAGTATTTTTGCCAGCTCCAAAATAGAAAGTCAACAGTTAATTACTGTGAATTAAATACATGAGTATGAGTTCATGAGTGTGGTGAAATGTACTCCTTCTTTTTTAGGAAAAGGGAACATGTTTTCACTGTAGTCTGAATCACATATCGGTATAGTAGAATGAAGTGAGCTCATAAATATGTAGCAACATTGCCAGTTAAAGTTTATCTCAGAGGAGGTCAAATTCTTGTTGCTGTAGCACTTGGTGCTTCCTGATCTGAAGTGTTTCCCTCTGATTTTCAGGGTATGCATGGGCCAGAGGCCTACATTGCCACCCAGGGACCGCTAGCTAACACCCTCATAGATTTCTGGAGGATGATCTGGGAATACAAAGTTGCTGTAAGTAGTCATCACTGTCAGAAACAGATGGCTAATGGTTTCAAAACTGTCAGACCAGGATTTGCTGCATTTACCGTATTCATAGTGTTTTTAATCTGATTTTGGGAAAAAAAAACTTTAAACCTGTTCATACAGGTTTTACTGTGCAGTTGTTTTCAAAATGATTGCAATAGGTGACAACATGTATCACTGCTACACATATTGAACAGTGACCTACAAGTCCTTTTGTGAAAATAGTTTAATAAACTTCGAAGTACATCAGTCATCATTAATAGTTGTGCGGTATTACAATTTGCAATATGTCTGCAAAAGCCAGTTAACTTGTCCCAGGCTCTGTTTATATATACTGTATATATTCATATCAGCAGTTTGTGTTTGTAATGTTTTCCTATTTTAAAACACTTGGTTCGGTTGGGTCTTTGTATGTAATACAACAATCAAATGGTTCAATTACCTGTGCAAAATGTCACATCTGAAGTTCATTGTTTTTTCCTGTCTTCCACTATTTTTAGGTAATTGTTATGGCTTGTCGAGAGTTTGAGATGGGAAGGGTAAGATGGTTCATCTTTATTGGTTCTTTCAATGTTTGTTCTTTTTGGGGTTTATTTTCTTTGTGCCATTTCTCAATCAGAGGTAACTGTAGGTATCATGTGTGGTACTGATTCAGTGAGCTGGAGGTTCTTGTGTCATGAAAATATGTAACACTGTGTTTGAGGTTGGCAATATCTTTAGGTTAGAAAGTACCTGAGTTTTTTACATTTTCCTAAGCTTGAGAAGACAGTATACAGTATCAATGGTGTATATCCCAGACTGGAGATAACCTAAGGTTAGACATTGTCTGTAGAGGTTATCCTTAGCCATAATATATATGGGTTTCTCTCAGGTCTAATGTAAACCAGAAATACACTTAACATATTTTACTTGATTGTACTATTATTAAGTGCTTATACTTCTGAAGAAGACATAAAACATTTTTCATAACTTAGTTTGTAATCAAGCTAGACTTGTGCATCGTACCCATAAATGATAAAAATGTATTCTAAAAAGTTAAACTTTATGTTCCATCAGTGTTTTATTTAAAAAATTGTTTTCTCTACAGAAAAAGTGTGAACGTTACTATCCCCTGTTTGGTGACGAGCCTTTGTCTTTTGGACCATTTAAGATCTCATGTGTAAGTGTGTTTCATCCTTTTATTTTCCATTTAGCCACCAGTTTTAGTAAAAATGTTTTCCACTTGACAAACACATGACTAGCTTCCATTTGCGAGTCCGTGCTCCTAGCCTGTGACTTTCACTATAGATCCTCTGTTGAAGATGGAAGTTAATCAGCATAATGAAATTACTTCTGTCATGTCTCTTCAATAAATGTCAGGGCACCCGCCTTAAAAGACATCGCCATTTTCCTGATGGCATTTTGAATATGTTGCAGTTACGAGTGTTTAGTTTATTTTCTCTGTGTAGTTATAGTGCCAGGTGGGAGATGATGATATTGATACTGGAACTGTAAAAAAGAATGAACAACAATGATTTTTCTCTCCTCCACGCTGTACATAGCCTAGTGTCGCTGAAGCCAAAACAGTGCCCCGATTGCAGCGCTTGATGTTTGAAGTGCTCCTACTTAAGTGCTGCAATACTTACAAAAGAACTTGACGCAATGGAATTACTTAATGTTTATTCTTTTTAGCCGATGCACCGCATTATTCTGTGGAAAATCAATAGCTGAGATTTTTTTATATAGTTATTTTATGCAAGAAGTGTTACAGCTGCATTATTGAAGGGCTTTTTTCCATTTATTATGCTCTTAAAGCCCTTTCATCAGTGGCAGATTTACAGGCAGAGGGAAGTTCAGTGCCCCTGTTAACTAAGGTGGCAGTCTGAGAGTTCAGTATCCAGTGGGTAAACGCGTTTATTAAATCAGACAATATAAAATCATTCTGCTCTGTATATTATCATAATTCGCTATCTGTTTTAGCTGTTGTAAAGACAGTTTCCTTGCAAAAGATAAATGGCTTGATTGAGCCATACTGGGGTGTCTAGACACCATGTTAAAATGATGGAATCATGTGACTTGCGTGGAAATGTGAGAGAAGCTTGATGCAAACTGAAACTTGCTAAGAAAAGTCAAGAAGTGCTAGTGCCTGCATTCATATCCCCTTTTGCTGCCTTATATGATGAATTTGTGAGGTTTTCTACTGACTAATGACAGAAAAGATTCATTCTGGATAAGCACATGACACTGAAAACATGATTAGTTTTGGTATTGGTCTTTGGTTTGACTAAACCAAAGTAAATGTGAATAAAACATGTTTAATTTTTAAACCTGGCGAAGTTTGTGGAGTCTGCACGGGCATACTTAGCCATAAGCTCTCCTTTCTTTCGGTGAAATTTGGATACTACAGTGCTTTTTATTTGTAATTATTGTGGGACTGTTTACTTGAATTAATTCTGGAAAGCTGAGCCCCGAATTGATTGATCAGAATTTGTGCTGTAATTATTGATGGCAATTTTGACTGTTAACAGTCAAAATCAATGAATAGCAAAGCGGGCATGGAAGTTCTATACGTAAATCATTTTTTTACCTTCTCTTACAAGCAAAATTAGTTTCACTTTGTCCTCACCTTTCCAGATTCAGCTACCATCTTGGCTTCTATTGTGAACAGATTTCATTAACAGTGGTTTCCTATGTTGAATTAAACTTTTCCTGCCATACTGATGTGGTCTAATGTTAATAAAGAATTCAGGTTACAGGTGAACACTTTGCACTGTTTAAAGACAAAAGATTGCTATTTTCAGGACTGTCATCCCTTTGCTTGTTTTAGGAGGCAGAAGAAGCTAGAACAGATTACTACATAAGAACTCTTATAGCCGAGTTTCAGAATGTGAGTATTTCCTTTTTCTTTGTCCTCTTTAAATCTGCTGCAAATGCCTGTTTTGTGTTTGTGTTGTGACAGCAGGATTTGGGGTAGGAGGCACAGGGGTTTGACTTGTTGTACTTTCTTTCTCTGAAGGAAACTCGTAGAATACACCAATTTCATTATATCAACTGGCCGGATCATGATGTCCCATCGTCATTTGACTCCATCCTAGACATGATCAGTTTTATGCGAGAGTACCAGGAGCATGAAGATGTGCCTATCTGTGTTCACTGCAGGTGAGAGTCTCTCATTCCTGTCGGGATTACTACTTTTCAGCACAAGTGCGCAAGCCTGTTGGACGCTGTCTGGCTGTTTTCTGCCACAGCTTAACTGTTTAATTCTAGAAGTCTGACTCTCAAACCTTGCCTGATCTTATAACTGTCATTTATGTGCTATCATGGCATAAAATGTCGTTGGTCCATTCTGGATAAAGACATTAAATGTAATAAGTTTTCAAACTTAAATTTGAAATGTGTAGCTCCCTAGATGTTAAGTTGACCATGTGGCTGTGTAATGAGTTTCATCAGCAAAAACAACTTTACATGTCCTGTTTGTGAAATGAAGCCTAGGCTACAGTCCTTCTGCCAAGAGACTACAGAGATCATTTGTTTCTGAGGCAGTGATGTCATGTCTACTTTAGAAATCGTGTTTTAGCTTAGTGGGCGATTCTTTGAACAAAACCTTTTTGATCTTCATTTAGTGCCAGGAAGTACTTTGAAGTACCTTCAAGCTAGTGCTCAACCCAGTTGTCTGAGCAATTGAACCCACATGTTCACATGTGTTCTGGAATCCTTGTAAGGAATGTTCAGGTTGTTCCATCGCTTACGAGAATTCCAGTGCTTGAGGTGCTTTGATTAGTATCGTTTCTCTTTGCGACAAGGTGCAGAGGGACTCTTAATACAAAATCATTTGCCCCTAGGTTCACAATTCTCCGTGTGCTGTCTCTCATTTGTGGCTACATGGTCTCCATCGGTGGCTACAGTGGATTCTGATTGGTTGTTTTGTGTTTCGTGACCCTGTATGTTTTTTGATCCCAGCGCTGGGTGTGGACGAACAGGAGCCATTTGTGCCATTGACTACACGTGGAACTTGCTGAAAGCTGGGGTAAGAATCTGCGTTCGTCGTGTTTTGTCTTCAGACAAATGCCACAAAAATAGAAACTGATGGAGAGAACGATGTTGTTCCTTATTCCTGGTAATCCCTAGATTCACTATTGTCTTTGCACGCCTGAGCAAATTTATCATATCATCATGCTGGCATTGAGTGTGGTGACAGCCCAATGCGGCCTCCTTTTTCTTGTAAACATCTTTGTATTTAAGATGGCAGTTTCTCCGAATCTACATATTTCCTTCTTGTAATTGTTGTAAAGATTAGGAAACGCGCAGAGAGCCTGGGAATAGTATTGGTAGTATAGTGCAGAGCGTGACGGAAGCTGAGGCCTGATGGGAACTAAAGTTGTTCTTCTCTGTAGAAAAGTTGCGCAACTAGGAAGGATGTGTGCTCTGCCAGATAAATCATGTCAGGGTGCATGTTGGAACCACTGCTTCAATCTTGGGAAAGATTGCACTTTAAAGCATTTGCAAATTTTTGAAGAAACTGACAGTTGTCTTCAGATCAAACAGTATTTAATGTACATGATACAGCTATGCAGTATTTTATGTACAAATAAACTAGGTTCATGTATTTGGCAGTAACTCCCCAGCTGGATGCATGAGTAGCAAATTGAACATCTTCTCTTTTGCCGTGTAAAAGAGAATACTACTATCAGCCTGATGTAGTTCTTATCCCCCAGGCTCCTCTCTGTGCTCCTTTCCAAATCGTGGATTGCAGTTACGTTTTCTCTGTGATGTTCTTCTTTGCTTGTAGCCTAAACCCTGCTAGAACTTTTATGTACGTGAACTTTGTTTGAGATCGAAGAGCCTCAGGGCCCGACTGGAAGTTTGCAAGTACTAGTGCTATCGCTGGCCTGATACAAGGGTTTTTGTCCTTCGCTGGCAATGAGCTCATGCTGAAAGGATGATGTCGTGAGTGTGCAGTACTTCTGCAGTGCTGGGCTGTTAGAGTGCTCCTGAGTTAGACAGTCTGTAATCCTGGGTTTTCCTTGTAAGTTCCCTTACCCACAGGGCAGGACTGTACTAGCTATTGTTGAACACAGCTAGCACTGTGAACAAACAGAAAAAATAACTATCTCTGTCGGCCCAGAGTAACATCAATTATTTTTTAAGAGCTTTTGATTCAAAGTAGCACTTAATGATTTTGCCAGTTTTACTTTTTTTTTCTTACAATTTTTCTTCTAATCCAGTTAAGGGAACACCATTAAGACTTGCCTTTGAGTTGTGGTTGTGAAGAAATATCGTCTGAGAGGCCTTGCTGCTTTTCATAATAGTGATTACCACATGCACATCAGCCGGAAGATGTATTCTGTAATTTAAAGCAGATGCCTGACAGTAACAAGTCACTAGACTATCCACCAGCATATTCAGCACAGAAAAAAATAGCAACCGGCGAGTTCTGCAGCAATTTTGATTTTCCATGGTGATCCATTGTCTGTGTTTGTATCTCACACAATTATTCAATTAATCAATTATTTTGCACCATATTTTCCTCATTTTTGTTACAATTTTTAATCACAGTGATTTTTGTCATGGTGCTGCACTATTGATTCCATACTTTGGCTCGTGCAGTACTTGTGCTTGATAAGATGTGAGTGGTAAGCACTTGATCCTCTTCCTTTTGTTCTAGAAAATTCCAGAAGACTTCAACATCTTCCATCTAATTCAGGAGATGAGAACACAGAGGCATTCGGCTGTACAAACCAAGGTAAGCAGTGCAACCAGATTAATTGTGTGTTGGCGTAACTCATAGTGATATGGCAGTGCCCGAGTCTCTCATTGACGTCTCTTTTGCGCTGCAGGAACAGTACGAACTGGTCCATCGAGCCATCGCACAGCTCTTCGAGAAGCAGCTGCAGCAGTACGAAAGCCCAGCAAACTCAGAAATGGCAGATGGCATGGTAAGAGGACCTTACTGCTGATCCACAATATGTGTAACCCTCCAGACATCAGACTTCACCATTGTGTTCGGCCAAGGGGAGATTTAAAGTGTAATGTAGCAATCTTTGCTGATTATGATCGTTTAACTACACCGTTCCCGAGTTTACCGTTGGAAAGCCTCCTGTCAGTTACATCTTCTTTTAAACTTGTATTATTGAGAAGATTATAGTCAAAATCAGTTTAAAGTGTTTTATGTTGAGTAAAGATCGTAAGCTGCTGTACTGAGTAAAATTAAAAAAAGATTATAATGTGTATAATAAGTAACATCTTCAGTTGTGGGTTATGTGTTCCAAGATGGACTTGACTGATTTTCCTTTATTTAACTTCCTGTCTTTCATAATCCCTGCTAGAAAACTGATCTCTTTTTCCTTTGGATTCTTGCGATGCACTCTCACTTGGCTTTTGTTTGACCATGCCATGCTGGTTTATTCCAATTGCGATGCATTCTGGTCTCCAAAGCCCAATCTGCTGAAAGTGAAGATGAATTTATGCTGCCAGTTGAAATGAAAAGCGAAACGTTAGCAGTACTTGTTTGTGTCTTGGGCCTCTTGCTCTGTGTTGTGCTCGAGCTCTTCTGAGTCATGCGGCACATTTCTGACGAAGCTCGACTTGTGAATTTTCACGTGTTTAGTGTTTGAAAAGGTCGGTAACAATTCAGATTATATTACTGGGTAACCTGTTTTAAGTGGTTATATGGACCGATAATAGATCATTACTCTTCTCCCTCTTTGTTTCCATAACAGATATTTTTCTGAATGGTTTTGTTGTTATTAGCTGCTTTTGTTCTAGAGGCCACAAGACTGTGTTCTATAACGTGGTTAGGTTTTGCAGGAAGAGCAAGCATTTTGACTTTAGGGAGTTATCTTTGTGAATATGCCATCTAAGATTACCCTCCAGAATGCAGTTTCATAGTAAATCATATCTACATCCTGACAAGCAGAGGTACCCATCTTGGGTCCCGAGGCAGGAGAAAAGTGGAAAGATTCAGACTTGCCTTGAGAAAAAGGGGTTAAAGCACTCCTGTTCTGAAATTAATTTGTCGTAACTATCCCAACAAATGTAGAATCCATTTCTTGTCTGGAATAAAGGCAGGATGTGCTGAGCTATGAAGAACAAAAAAAAAGGAACATTACAAGTTGCAGAAAAGCGGCATCTGGCCTGCTGCCACATACACAGTCCTGCTTCCTTCACTAAAACCAGAGGATCTCTGACATAATGCTTTTGGAGAGCCTGAGAATAGTCAGGCATCTGGGGAAAAATAACCAGCAGGCATTTCGTTCTTTTTTAGAGTTCACTCACTGTTTACTTATTTATTTGAACTCCATTATTCAAGAGCTAAGCACAAGGACAGAACATGTCTGGAACAAGGCCAGAAAGTTGATAAGAAGGCTGGAAGACCTGGGTCTTGTAATCCCAAGAAGAAAAGAAATGCAAATAATTTAAGATTCAGGGTGATTTTTTTGTGCTCAGCTGTTGGTAATTATAATTTACATCAGGTTTTGCCTGATGCTCTGATCTCTAAGCTTCAGTTCCTAGTACCCCCTTCTGAATGAAATGGAAAAAGGAATGCTGAGCACCATGAAGAATTCACAGGAAGATTAGAAGCAACTTGGAAACAAGTACAAGCACACAGGGAGGGAGAGTGCCTGTTAATCGATCCGTCTGTTGTAGGCTGGTGACAACAAGTACATGATTGCTTGACTCGAGCGGAGTCTGTCTGTTGTCCTGCTGTGTACTGGCTCTCTGGCCTGTGCTGAAGCTCATGTGATGCCTTATATCAGGCAAATGTATCCATTTCATTGTGAAGGTGTCAGAATAATATAAGACACCAGAGAGGGTTTCTCACTGAAGAGTATCACTCTGGTGATTGTGTAGAAAACTGTTTCCCCAGTGGTTCCCTAAACTGCTGCTTTGGTGGTTGTCTCTTTTCAATTAGAAATGGTTTCTGTTTCCTACTTTTCTGGTAAATCATTTTGTATTTGATGAGCTTAGGAAGTTGAAAACATTACTTTCTATTGTATGTAAGTCTTTTGATATTTTTATCATCACAAAGTCATGTCAAGTTGTGATTTTGCAGGATGTCATTAGATAACGAACATCATAAACATTCTTAGTAATTTTCTTAGTTTTTAACCATTATGGTCAAATGACTTTTTTTTTTTGCAAATCACAGGATAACCCTTTATAATGAATGGGACACAATTTCAAAATGTTTTTAATTTCTTTTTCATTTCATGCTGGCTTTTATGTCTGACTTATAAAAAGTATTTCTTTCAAACCATATCTTTGCATTTTCTGTTTTAAGAAGTCAAGATGTGAGCAAAGAAAAGTGATGTCTAACCTATTTTTTTTTCCTCAGGATTCTCCAGACAGTGGTGTAAAATTGGCAGAGCACTACCAAGCAGGGATAGGTTTGTCAGGGCACTCTTAATAGAACAAGTCCTTAAAAGTCTTGGGCATCTTGAGTGTAGCATCAATGTTGGTCAGTGCCACTCCTTCAGTCGCTAGTAACACTGCTGTTGCTTGCTGACTGCTGTATGAATGGTTCTGTGGGTGGTCAGAGGGGTTTTTCTGCCTGCTGTCATGCTTCCTGTGCAGTACAAGACATATAATGGAAAGAGATTAAGTGGGTATAAAATACAAAACCCTTCTCAAAATGTGTTTCTGCTTCCCGCAGGATGAAATCAGCCCTGAGAAACCTGACAGGAACTCGGATGAGGAGAAGCTAGACACACCGCCACCCAAACCCCCCCGGATCCGGAGGTACCCTCCTTAATGTCCACTCAAGAGTGAATGAGATCGAGGCGCCCATGTTGCGTCACAGGCTTGAACAAGGTCTTGAAGGATCGAGCACTCGGTCGGAGAGCTTTCTAGAGCACGTGGCACTTTAAAATTCTTAGTTACTGTGCCCGTTTAGGCAATGGGAACAAATAGTGCACTTCATCTTTGAAAACATCTGCCTCCTTGCTGTTCTTCCCCTCCTACTCTTCATTCTATCTTGATGGTTCCTTAAAAGCTTGACCAGTGTGGGTCAGAGAAATGTTTCCAGGAAAGAACGTGCAGATGCTCAGCAGCTGTGCGTTGGACTTGGGGAATTTCAGCTGTGCAAGTGTGGAGGACCAGTGTTTGAAAGGCATGATGACTTGATGAATTCACCTCTTGTGAATATATTGGATAAGAAGCACTGTCATATCGAGATTTTCATCTGTGTTAAATGCCCTCAGAACAGAAATGTCTTTCTGTTCCTGAGAGCACTGGCCACAGACATGGTCAAAAAAATCCATGATTATCATGTACAGTAAGTGAAATGCAGTTCAGATTGTTTCAGGGGAGGAGGGTTTAGAGCCTCCTGTTAGTGGTCATTCTATGCCTCCTCTCATTTGTGCTAGAAAATATGCCATTAGATCTGAATCATTCCAGTATGCGTCTTTGTTGAAGAATTCTTTGGAGATGATTTTACATTTAAAAAGGCAACGTCAATTTTTAAAGGTGATGTTTTGCCAGCAATAAAAGGAAAGAGCATATTTATCTGTTTTCTTGTGTAAATAAATGCTTTGTGCTAGTGGCAAAAAACACTACCAGTGTTAATCACACAACTGACTCTCCATGGTAACATTTATTTTCCAATGAATTGTCACAAGAAACACAGTCAGGAAGTTGTTGGTGGCTTGAATTAAGTTCTGCAAAATAACAGCATTTTCAGCATCCTTTATTCCTGGATTCCTGTTGTAAACCAGCTACCTGAACATCTTTCTCCTCGTCATGTGAAATGTGAGGTCAGTGAGAGTCATTAGTGTGCACTTGAACTGCCTCATTCCTTTTTGACATACAGTAACTCTGTCCCTGATCTGTCAAGGTGCTGGGTGAGGGTCATTGTTGAGGTCATTGTGCCAAGTGAGGGTCATTGTCAAACAGACCACATTGTACTGGCTGCCGTCTGAGGCTTACATTCAGGAAACACGTTTTTTCTGAAGTGGCTAAGGTCTTCGGTTATATTGAGGTTGTGTCAAGTGATTCTCTCTTTGACCACATGTGTCATCGTCTGGTACAGTGCCATCCACACTTGCAGGGGGATTAAGCAGATTGTCAATTATCTTTCATTGCACCAAGCATTGACAACCTGCACACAGGCTTGCTTTTACTCTGCTCTTCTTCCCCTGTGTTCTGGAGAATGATCACTTGTGATGTGCAGGTAGTGTCCTTCTGTGCCTTGTATGTTACTAGGAAAACATCAATAAGCTGAGCTCTAGACATACAGTAGGAAAGTATTGTTCTTTTAAAACAGATACTGCAAAACAAACTGCTGAATTATTTGGAAATGCTCTTTTTGTTTTAAAAGAGCAAATACAGCAGCTTCTCAAGACAACTTCATGTCCATACCTTACAAACTTACCTTGTATGTCTGCTTTCATTCTGGACAAGCAGCATTAGTTAAGTAAGCCACTAACTGAGCTAATAATGTGATTGTATCTCATCATTTTCAGCTGCCAAAAAGTTAAAATGTCTGCAACTTTTACGTTTTAATAGTTCAATGGTTAGGACTGAAAACAGTAGTTGTTAATGAAATTCTCAAGCTAAAGAAGTGTACAATTAAATAAAAGAAGAATTTCGTTTGGAAACGGCTTTTTTCCATGGGTCTGGGGTCTCCAGGATCAGCTTTGTTTGGAAGGTTCCAGAACAGGTCAGAATTATCAGTAGTACTATCGGTTATCAATACTTTTCTTCCCGGATTCTTTGTTGATGACGAAGCTAAACCAAATTCACACACAAAAGTAAACAGACATGAATATGTGTTGCAGAATCTGTAAACACCTGGGTTCTGTGGAGCAAATATGAGGTGAGTGTATAAGCCCTGGGACAACAGAGGGCAATAATTACTGTCCGACTAAGCAGTTCTTCATGAATTAACTCTAGGTGTTGCCTATACTGTTTGCAAGTGTATAATTGACTGCGTCAAGATTCTTGGTTCTTTTCCAAACCATGGCGTGAATGACCATTATGTTCCCAAACATAAATATTTGCCGATTCTGACCATTTTCAACAATTTGTGAAGAATCCTGGTAAGTTCAGCTTCAGATGTGCTTGACCTGGTAGAGCTCTCCGTGTTTTTTCTCTGTACAAGCCTGTGTGACCTTTATTAGCCATTCACATGCGTATGAAGTGCCGCAACTGACCTTTTTATTTTTGGAGTGTTTGCTCAAGAAAATCGTATTCGTTCAGAAAGCCAGTGGTTTACAGAATGTAAAAAGAGCAGCTGCGTTGCTTCTGTCCCAAGCTGCGAGTCACATCTGTGGGGGTCAGGTGAGGCTGTGAGTAAGGTGCCATCTTGCTTCTCACACAGCTTGACTTTTCTTCTGCTTCAACAGATCACTCTGGCAAGGTGGAGTAGCGGATCTGCATGGTTCTGCTTGTAATAACTACTTTGTGTTTCTGTTGTCATGATTGCTTAGTCATTTTTTGTGTGCAGTAAACATTCATTGGAATGTTCTTTCTATAGCACTATCCATTAGGATTCACGGTTTTTTATTTGCTTCATGTTTGCCAGCGAGTGGCTAAATATATACAGTGGCTGGTCTGTATTCCCAGAAAATTATTTCTCATTTGAATCTTTTTTTAATATATATATATAGCACCTTTCAGGTAAAAATGACATAAAACGCATGCAGTAATGCACGTTCATTAAAACTTTCAATTTTCCAACCTCTTTATCCAATGCAGGGTCACAGGAGAGCCAAACCCTATCCTGACAAGCAACAATCCAAAGCAGGATACACCCTGGACAGAACACCATTCCATCACAGGGCACGCACAAACACTAGCACTGTACACACGCTCGCACCAGGGCCAGCTTTTATTCAGATGTCTTCAGCATAAAACGAAACAAAGAAGGTTACATCTGTAGGCTTCCCGAGAGACCCAAATCAATACAGGTGCCTGCCTGAGCAGAGGCTGGGCTTTATGCTTCACGGGTTCAAGTCTGGTCATGTCCGACTAGCCGACGGTGACTAGGACTCCTAAAATGGTCCAGTGCTGCCAAGGCTAGGGTTAGATTAGTCAGCCGGGGGTCTCTCGGCCCCTCTCCACCCAGCTCTCCCTGACACTGAGAAAACCCTCTACTGCATACTCAATTATGGGACTGTGGTGCTGGTAACCGATTAAAAGACAAGTTCCATACGATTGTGTGTGGTTTCAGAGTTTGTAGCTGTATGCCCAATTCATCGGCTATTCCAAGTCTGATGGCATGACCAGATATAATTGGCCAGTCAAGTGTTCTGTAAAGAGTAACAGAACGGAGAACCTGATTTAAAAAGTACCTGTAGACATGTGGGATCTCACAGTCGATGGGAAAAGCAGTTCAAAGCCTGGAAGAAATGGAGCAGAAATCTCCTTATTCACAAAAGTCATTCATGTCATCCAATGACATGTCAGCCAGTCCATTTCCAAGTCCTTTATGTATTTTAGGTTTTATTGAATTATTGAATTTATTGAATTATGAATTCTGTAGGGAAGCACAAATAGGAATGGCATTCTCACATGTCCCGTATTTAGAATGGGACAGCTGAAATTTAAACATATTGCATCTGATTTGGAATGTGTTTAGATGCATCAGCAGTAAGGCGGTAATTAAAAGTAGTCAAGCTCTGGAAAAAAAAAATCAGGTTCTGTGTGAATTAATACAATGATATGAAGGTGGAAAAAGGACAGATGTCAGATGCCAGAGTGTGATTACGAATGATACCATGATTCTTAACCTGGGAACCTGGGTTAATTTCTTTCTTGCTTCCTCTCAAAAGCACTATAGCAACACATATTAAAGTGCCGTTAAACAAATAGGACCCAGATCAGAGGGGGTCAGTTTCTCAGCTCCGTTATCGGCACCCTCTCGCTCTTTCGGGTATTGTTTCTCAAAGTGGTTTCTGATACTGCCAATGAGTCACACACTGCAAGAGGCATGTGTTTGTGAGACAGCAGCCATTCCACAGCAGTCTGAGTCAAGATTATCTTGAGGTGACTCACGATAATCAGACCTCCAGCAGTATGGCCTAACAAAGTGGTATCATTTGAAGATTAAATGAAGTCGTTGTGGTGCTGTCTTGAGGTTATGATTGCCATTGTGAACGGGTGGCATGTGTGGAACAAAGTCTCTGTGAGACTGAGCAGTCCTCAGTAGAAGATTAAAGTTCTTTATAAGTATTGATGCTGATGCTGCCTTCACAAAACATAGCTTTGGAAGGACGGTGCTTAGGTTGAAGGAAGACACCTTTGTACAACAAATTGAGTTCAGAGCAATTCAGTATTTTGGTCACGTTAGCAACTGCCCGGCACCTCATTTCACTGACGCAACATTTTGTGACCTTTTCCAGACTGACAGGAATCAATGACTTTTTTCACAGGTCCTCAGGAATATCTTTTGAAGGGGGTACGACGTGCCTCTAGATTTTGTGGTGAGATACCTGAGATTTACTATCATAATGAGACAAAGTTTATTTAGTTTTGTATAGAGCAGGGCTAAATCGGCCCTGATTGTTCAATAAAGTATTCACACAGCTGACCCTAGTTGTCTCTTTAATGAAATTGTTTGAACTAGGGTGTGTTAACTTTTTCATACAGTTACATTGGATGCTGGATAACTTTATGAAATAATTGAAACAAACGCCTAACTTGGTCATTATTTGCTCACTCAAGCTCCGTTTATATATCACTAGGCCTCACAAGAGGCTCCAATAATATTCAGTGGCGAATACCGAATACTTTTTCACTGAACTGTGCTTTATGAATATAGCCAGTTCTGCTATAACAATAGTTGAGTTTCTGGAGAACCCCCCATTAATATTACTGTTGGTATTTACTGTATGTCCCATTCTATTAAAACAGTTTTATTGTTATAATATTCATGAATTGAATGCTGCCATGAGAACACTGAAACCAAGCACACGAGATGGTATAGTACTTGTCAGCCTTCGTTGCTAAGCAATAGGAAGTGCAGCAGTGGAGGAGGAGGTTAGTGAGAATTGCGGTAAAGATGGAGGAAGGTTTTACATTTTAATAACATTTACAGTGACAACCTTTTTCATTCAAGAAATATATCTGAAATGTATGTTTGCGCTGACCAATCAACCTGCACTGAGGCAACTGCTCAGCTGCTTATTCCCGTGTGTGTGTGTGACTGTTTCCCATGTACCCACCCGTGTTGTAAAATACAGCAGCAGTAACGAAATCACTGCGTCATATTCGATGTGCACTTTGAGGACATGAATTACAGCAGAACTGACTGTTGTGTAGTTTTAGGAAATGTTAAAGGAACAGCCCTTGCTTCCAGAGGTTCAAACATCAGACCCCCCCAGTTCTGCCACGGTGCTGTTGAGCACATAACCAAACTTCCTTGCGCTTTGTCTTCAGATGGGTCAGAAAACTTTTTTCTTTTGTAAGCATCTCTGCGGTAGAGGCTGTTGATAAGTAGTTCACACCTTTGATCTTAAAAAAAACTCTTTGAATAAAATCTAAGTGTCTGTTAACATTGTTGTATAACCCACTGCATTAGTTTCAATTGAAATTACTTCTTAGATTTCTTTACCTGCACCTACAGTACTCCATCTCTTGGCTTTGTTACCTTGGAACTGAGCGGTACTAACTATTGCTGCCTGTGAATTGCCTATTTCAGATTTGTATAAAAGCATCAATACTTGCCCCTTTCATTTTTTGGACACTTTTGTTTTTTGGAAAATAAAAATGCTTCTGTGCCGTCTCCAGTGAGGTTTTGTTCGGTAGGTCATTGTCATGGAGTTGAGAGACAGAGAACTGAGGGAGGTGAAGTAGTTTGTCATTAAGATGCTGTTAATCCAGACTGTCCACGGACGAGCGCCAGTCCTGGGAGTTTTAGATGTCCTTTCAGTCTGTTATGAAGACAGTCACCGATAAACTTTTGCCAGATTGTTAATCTCTACAATTTGATGTTGTGGGGAGAGAACTTTTTTCCCCATTTTGATGGCCTGGGTATGGCCTGCTGGGGCCTCTGCCTTCCTTCTCTTACTGCTGCTATCGCCTGAGGGCGCTTGGGAAGCTGAAGCAGGAAACGAGCTGGGTTTTATCTGCTCAGAACGAGACAAACCCCCTGCCGAGTCGCCGCGAAGCAGCCACATCAAGTGCCTGGGCTTCTGGGTAAAGAGGAACTGGGGGTAAGTGCCCACGTTGGCTGTGGCCTGCTTTGAGGAGGCAAAAAATGAAAAAGGCTAAACAAAATTGAGCGGAAAACCCTTCCACTGAGACTATCCATCCAAAAATCCAAAAAGGAGCGTAACGGAGGGGGAATGTCAGATACTGTTGCCATGGCCTTTCATTGGAGCTCTCCAGTCATCCTGCCTATCCAGCTGTCAAGCTCTGTTGAAGTTGTAGGTCATCTGTTTGGTCTTTGTGGCTCTTTTTAAAATTAAAACAATGTAAATATACACATACTGCATTGTAGTAGTGCTTCAGTTATCAGCTAAGCAAGTGGTTTATGGAAATATCTGAGGTGTTTTTTTTATTTATGTAATAGGAAGTTTTTGAGTACCAGCTGTTTTTTTCTGTCTGTCTATAAAGATTCCATTTTTAGGCTCTAGGTTCATATTCTCCGCTACAGACTTTTATTTTTTCTATTTTTATTATTTCTGACCTAGGTATCTTTGGAAATGCCATTTGTCAGTGTTTGTATTTTTGTGTACTTCAACAAAAGTCTTTTGTTTAGTGAAAATGTGATTGAATTCCATTATTGCAAATTTATTTTTGCAAAACTGTTGGTGAAGCACAGTTCTCTTGCTTTAAATTTAAGCTAAAATCATGCATTAACATACATTAATATGGGTAGAGAATAGCTTTCTTACTGATTTTGTTTCAATTAGTGAGGAAGTGATTTGGGGATTTTATTTGCTAATGAAATGTTGTGCTCTGTATTTTACCAGGAAAACACCGGTGCTTAGAGAATCTCTTTTCTAGTCAAAAGTAAGAAGTGCTTTGGAAAGTGAAACTATTCACAGTATTTATATGTGACGGCCTAAAAACTAAAACACTGCTTTCAGATTTAAAATGTAGTGCACCATCTTGTGGTGATAAGTGAAGTTCAGAGGTTCCTCATGTCAGTTTGGTCTTCTGTTAGCAATTGTGCTGTGTGGTTGTCCCACAATGGGCGTCCTCTCTGCCCCTGTCGTTCACTCAACTCAAAAAACGCGTTGCATCAAAAATCAACCAATAGTGAAAGTAAAACCGAGCACCAGCTGTGTGCAGCAGTGATGATGATGCAGTACTCATAATTGGAGGGCTGAGAGTTCAGATCCCAAGTGGGGCACAGCTATATAAATGGGGTCTAATGTAAGAGGAGTAAGTGCATCAGCTAAATAAAGAAATGAAGTTCTGACTAGGAATTTGATGTGCCACGTAGGGAAGTATTTTATATTGCCTGTCAACAATGACCTCTGTATGCTCTGTGACGAATTACTGTCTTCAAGTGCAAGAAGTATTAGATTGCCTGATCCTTGTTTCATTTAAGTGCTTTGGTGCGGTTCCAGTGTTTTTGTGTTATTGAATCATGTGTAAAATAGTCGAATGATTTTTAATTTTCATGCCACGATTTTTCCCTTTGCCTCAGTGCCACAGCAACACAAACCAGAGGTCACTAGTGGAAACGCCGTGGATGTGCTTTTACATCTGAGCACAGAAAGGCACGTCTTTGCACAAAGGGTGGAGGGAGTATGAACAAACTACTCTGCCATGTTGCAGAAGCCAAAACCCTGGTTTGCCTGCAAGACTGGCTGAGAACAGCTGGTTGCTACTGAATGACCTAGATGGGTTGAAAGGCCTGCTCTCGTTTGTGGCCTTTCTTGTATCCTCTTCAGTTCCTACACCACTAACACCCCCACCCCTGCTTTCTCTCTGTGTGTGCTGTAGCTGCCTGGTGGAAGGGGATGTGAAAGAAGAGATCCTGCAGCCTCCTGAGCCTCGCCCCGTGCCACCCATCCTCACCCCCTCTCCCCCTTCGGCCTTCCCCACCGTCACCAACGCATGGCAGGACAACGACCGTTATCACCCCAAGCCGGTGCTGCACGTCCTGAGCTCCGCGCCAGCAGCCCCGGACCTCAATGAGAACTACAACAAGAGCCCAGAGCCCGTCTCCAAGGCCGACATGGGCCCGGCCCTGCCCGAGCCCCTGGAGAGGAAGCTGGAGCGCAAGTTGAGCATCGAAATCAAGAAGGTGCCCCTGCAGGAGGGGCCTAAAAGTTTTGAGGGGAACAGCATGCTTCACCGAACGCACGCCATTAAAGCCAAATCCTTCACCAGCTGTAGCTCTTTCTCGGAAGACTTGCCCCCGGAGTCCTGCGCGGATTTCGCGGGAGCGCAGGCCGGCACGGGCAGCTCTCAGGGCCAGGCACACTGTGAAGCCCCTCCCCGGCCAAACCACCTGTCACTCAGAGAGAAAGGACAGGCGTCCTGGTCCGCCTCCAGCCCAGAGAGAGGCCCCCCGCCCGCTGGGGCCAAGGCTGACGGGGAGAAGTTCCCCAAGGCCGCTGCACTGACGGCTGGTCACCCGAGGAAGGCCGGCGAGGGGGTGCCGACGACCCCCTCCAGAACTCCCCTCAGCTTCACCAACCCGCTGCACTCGGACAACTCTGACTCCGAGGACTCGGGCAGGGACTCGGGCAGAGCCGTACCAGCCAAAAACATGCCCAGTGTTTCCACCGCAAGTGCCACCGTTTCAGCTGCCTCCTCGGGAGAGAACGCGCCCGCCAGAAAAGTCACGTCAATGTCAATCGCTGGCCAGCGTTCGCCTTCAGAAACAAGTATGTTGGGCTTTAATGTTCCGTGCTTTTAGTTAGGAGTACACATGTGCTACACAGCTACAGTGCATTTGTAGCGATGTATCATCTGTTAATGTGCACTGACGAAGGCTCCAGCTTCTATGAAATATATAGGCAAGATATATATACTATAAAGGTATAATATATAAGCGTGCGTGTACAAGCAATGTAAGCACTAGGTTTGTGGTGTCTGATATGTTTATTTTGCTGCACAGTCAAGGAATTTGTATTTCCGATCCTGAGATGAAAAAACGAAAAACAAGGATAAGATGTTTTTTTGCCACACATTTAGTCTCAAATATAAAAAACATGCCTTAGTGTTTTTAATAAGAATATAAGTGTTTTTGTTCTAATATGACCAAATGTAGGCATGAAATTTGTAAATCCAAATAAACCATGGCTAGGGTCTCAAAACAAGTCACAAGCCACCCTTTCACCCCCTCCTGCCTCCCCCACTTCTGTCCTATTTTGACACCGGCAGTATTTGAAAATGTTCATATTTAGAATTCCTTTCATACAATGGAGAATAATTACCTGACATGAAGAACTTTAATAACCTGGAATGGATTGCAAAAAATGGCAAGAATGGTTCTCATAGCAGCAAAAACAGTATAAAAGTTAACCTTATCAAGTGTAAAGTCCAAAAATGTAAACCATGAGCTAATATCCTTTTCACTGTCCTTATTTTGACCTATTATTATTTGAATTATTGTGACTCAGTTTTGAGCCAAAACACCTGTTTGTTGTAAATGTATTTTATAAATTGTTGTCATACATTAATATTGTACTTTATACTGCTAGTAAGGCTTGATGGTTTTTATGCTAATTGACTTATCATAACCTACTCTCTAACGTATTTAGCCTTTTACATAATTGAAATTAAACTTATTGGCAATTATGAGAGAAATTAATCTCTTAAGTGTATTAAGACCTTGTAGCTAGCTGAAGATCACAGACGAAGCTCTCGGCATCAGATCAGGACTGTAATTACCTACAATCAGACGTAAAATTCTAACCTTTAATTTATCATTGCCTTGCAAAAGAAGGCTCTTTCTAGCTTCAGTAGAGCTCGGGAGAAAGGAAATTCAGGATTAATGAAGGGCATTTTGATGTTGAGAATTTGTCTTTGTTGTAAGGGGACACCCTTAATCACCATGTCAATAATGTATAGAATGAGAAGCAGAAAATTGTCCCAACATCTTAAAGTTAGAAAAATATTTTTTTGTATGTGGGTGTTGTATTTTTTTGTTTGACTTTGGATACAGCGTGTGGGGCTTTTCCAGTGGTATACTTGGAAACGTGTATATTAAAAGAAAAAAAGGCTGTTTCTGTGCTGTAACATGTGTAAAGCTTGTCAGCCTGTAAGCTTGTAAGTCATTGTCTAGGGGCTTTGCTTTTCTTCGCAACATTTACTGCCTCTTTTGTAGACAAAAAACGTGATAATCCATTCTGACTCCCTTAATAGCAGACGAATCTTATTGCTTTGAACCCCTCCTACCCCTTATAGTGCGAAATATTAAGCATTTATGGGGACTGGTGTCAAGCCCTTTGGCCCCATTAGTTGGGGCCATATTTAAGTAGACAGCACCAAAGTAAATTCAAAATCAGAAATCCTTGGAAAACAGGAGGCTCCTGAAGGAAATGCGCTGACCAGCGGGAGCTGTTGGCCTCTCTGCTGCGGGATGCTGGGAACTGTGCCTTCAGGTCATCCACCCAGACGAGTAGCTTGCGATTCTCTGGGAGAGAGCTGGGAGCCTGCTGGTATCGGCCTGTCGGCAGGCCTGTCTGAGCAAGATGAACTGCTTGGTAGCCTGCGGTTAACATTGGCGTGCAGGCACACACTTCCTGCAGCACAGTGCCCGCCTCTCTCCACGCACACAGCGAGGAACCCCGCTCAGACGCTGTACTGCTGGAAGACAGCACACGTACACGTATGTCCTAACCTGCAGCTTCCTGCATATTGGCAAACCACTGGTATGTGTTGGAAACCTTTACAGTGTTCACCTGAGGGGACCGCTGAGAGTGCGAGAAAAATCATTCACTTTATAGCTTTAAATGTCCTCTCTGAGACGACTGTTTCCTTCTGGTCTTTCTGGTGGAATGAAGCTTTGGTCTTGATGACCAAAGCGGCTTTGCTTTTTGGAGCAACTTACGTTTGCTGCTGATTTTCTGCTTCAGAGTGAACAGAGCTGTGTCTGTTTTACCCGGGAGGACATATGCTGGGCTTACGGAGTCTTAGCTTTGAAGCGTACGAGTAACGTGTTCTCGTTTGATTTAGATTCTGATCACAGTGTGGACTCTCCTCCTCCTCCTCCTCTGCCTGAAAGAACCCCCGGGTCGTTTTGTCTGGCCTCTGGTCTGGGTGAGCCTCCCTTTTCCGTGACCTCTTTTTACCAGTTGTTTGTTTTGTGACCACCAGAGGGCCCTATAGCTGCCATCTCCGTTTGCTTTATACAGTGTGCAAACTGCTTTATCTTTGTGTACGTGTCCATAATCATCTGAACACTAGGACCACCTGGAGAATATTTTTTGATGAACATTATCAATTATTAAGAAGATGTTACCGATTCCCATTCGTTAATCATAACCTCTGTGTTGAATGATTGTCTGTACCTCTGACGTTGGCAATGTGATTTTGTCTCCAGGTGGAGATAAAACACCATACAACATGAGGTGGGGTGCCCACCTGTATGGTTCCTCGGTACACAGCAGGTTAGGGAGAGAAGTGGGGCATGTAGCTGAGACAGATTGTGGAGGCCCAAAGTAGAATTGAGATAAAAATGGACATTTCTTTTGAGATCATATTTCTCTCTCAGTAGAATGCAATATATACAAGGCATCAAAATTGACAGTTAAGCAGCAATAAAGAAGCAGTTTTGCCTTTTAACTGTAGTTACATGCTCAGAGGTGATAAATTATAACAGATGGGCTTGGAAGACGTGTATTAACTTCTTTGTAGTAAAAACAGACTTGAACCTCATACTTTAGTGTCAGTTATTATTACCATGTTAGAAAGCTTTTGTTCTTAGCGAGCATATGTGTAGGATTAGAAACAGTATTACTTTCAGTAGACCATGTGTCCCTGGTTTAAATTCCTATTTCTTCTATTTTAGAAAGTTTTAAAATTGTTCCTGTGAAACTGCATGCAAGAGACTAGATGATGCGTTGTCTGCAAACTTATTTTTAGCAATTTAAAAGAGTTTCTGTGTACATCCAGCTTAGTGCTGGTGTCCGAATAGTCTGAACATTCTGAATGCAGAAATGTATTCATGTAGAAAATTTTCAGTAATGTATCGGGGGTTTTTCTGTGCTTATACTGATAAGCCTTTAAAACATTGCGGCCTGACTTGTAACTCTCCTGGCATCCACAAGCGTTGTTTTTCATCATCCATTGTAAAAGAAATGTGAAGGGTTGCCTGGTCTGTGGAAGACAGGTTCTTCCTTAATACACAACAGCTTCACCCTGCAGTGTCAATTTTACTGCCACAATTTAGCGATGGAGCCTGTCAATCATTTAGTCACTCGCGTTGGTAAAAATGGGGAAGGGATTCGACGAGTGATGATTGAGTGTCTCTTTTTGTGCAAGTGAGCGAAGAGGAACATGCAGGTGGCCCTGAACGACGCCATGTGTTCTGTGCTCAGAGCGCTTGACGGATGTTTCCTGTGCCGCGTGTGTGGAATCGGGAGACAGATGCAGTGTTTTGTTGAGTAACGTAAACAGCAGGCACTTGGCTGAAGCTGCCGTTCAGCCGTCAGGACTGTTGTGTGCTTTATAAATGACACAGTATTAAGCTCTGTAAGTGTTGCTTAGGTCTGCTGGACGGAAAACAAATATCTGCACTTCATGAATGCTGTCAGTTGTTTCTGTGCGGATCGTTGAGTCTGATGCGCTGTGAATGACGGCTCTTAGAGCAGAGCAAGACATCTTCAATATGTTCACAAAATACAGTGGATGATGCTGCATGCTTCCAGATAAAATCATGTCGTGTTCCACAATGAAGCGCAGGAAGGCTTGTACACCAGGCCTGTAAAGCCTTATTGAATTTATCATGGCACTGTACTTCACAGTGGCTGCTCTACTTTGAAAATAAAAACCCTGGATTCGCTCAAGGCGGATTCTAGAAGCTGTGGTTGCTAGACTTGCCACACACTGCTCTGATAGTGTTCTCGGCCTGAATTAGCCAAATGTAATCAGCTTTGTTTGTGCTTATTGATCTACAGGAAGGTTTCAGGAGCGAATGGGCTCTTGAGGGACACTGGATTACAGCTACTGACAGGGCCCTGGTTTAGAATTATCTCTGTTCATAGTGATTTATACTCAGCCGAGGTCTAGAAGCTTGCATTGCAGTGTGACTTGACAAAATACTGGGATCTTTCTGAGCTATCAAGAATCAAAGTTGGTGTACTTTCTAGGACGGGTGACATGGCTTGGTTTATGTGTTAAAACATCCCTCTCTGTGAGATCTTAGCATCAGATTAAATGGGCTGCATATTTGTCTTTTGTATCTGTTATACAGAATAGATACATATATTTTCTGTATACATGTTCATCTACATATATACCTTTGGGTTTTAGGGAGATCTGTATCTTGTCACAGGCTTCAGGATTTCCTCTAGTATTTACCCTTTTTTACTATCTTCCTCTTCTCTTTTAGTTACAACCAAGTGGAAAGTAGATAAGGTGTTGTATTTTTATGGGTAACTTTTTATTTAAGGTTATGATCTCTGTAATCTGCCCCAGCCCTATTACAGTCACTGAGTGTAGTGCAAGACTTTCCCGTTTGCCTGGAACAGTTGATCGGAAATCCAGCTAGATCATTCCTCTCCTGAGATGCATAATGTAGCCCTCTTCTCGATGAGGGGAGGCTTTTCTCCTCCTTCAACGCAAAACTATCATGGCCTCGTCCACCTCTCAGAGGGCCAGTCACTCCCCTTGTTTCGTTTGCTGTTGCGTCTCCTGTAATTAAGGGGTTTGTGTAAAGAGTGTGTCACCTGGAGGTGGTCCTGGACTGTTCGAGTGTGGTAGAGAGCACGAGGGTAGGTGCCAGTGAAAGATCCCGTCGCCTGCCGTCTTGTGACTCGACCAGCTCTTGACCTGGGCTGTTGGCACACGTCCCGATTCCCAAGCTGAGTGCCCTGGCTTGGGGCTTGTCCTCATGCTTACGGTCTTGTGCCCCCGCAGACGTGACGGCCCCTAGTCCCGTGGCACCAGGGGGCTCTGCGGAGTGGTGCGGCCTCCCCCCGGCCAAGGCCAGAGACCCGCCCCAGACCGGAACGGTAAGGAGCTCAGCCCCCGGTGGGCCGTCGGGCCGTCGAGACGCTTTTCAACCTGTGGGTCGCAAAAGAGCTGATTGAGTTCCCCTTCGTTTTTCTGCTTTTGTTTTCCAGGATACGAAAACACCAAAGAGTACAGAAAATGGTAGGTTGCTTTTAAGCTTACGCGTGCTGAACAAGTGGGTGGGTGTTACATGGCGTTTATTGCATTTTAAGGAATGACATACATTATAGAATATTTGCCCTAGTAAAACCTCATAAATGCATCCAGAAAGGTATTAAAGACATTTTATCTCTCGTAATTTAATGAATAGAGAGCAAAAGAGAGCTGATTCTCAAATTATATTTGTCAAATGCATTATTTATAATTCCAAGTCCTTTTCTATTATGCAGATTCATCAGAATTTTATGGGACACAACTCATTAACTAATTAACAGCTAATTAATGTTCTCCAATATCCTTCTGGCCACCTTCCTCAGAATAACAGCCTGTGTTACATTCCCTTGCCGGTGTCATCAGCTCTGCCTCTGCCAGTGCCTCTGAACCGCAAAGCAGCATTGCAGCCCATGACAAATAATTTATCTGCTCCAATTAATTTTTAAATGATTAATGTGATTAAAAATGTCTAAATAGCGGAGGCTTGAATGACAAACACATGAGAATAATTAGTTTCGTTAGTTATTCATTTCCTCACTCCATTATCTCTTAACCTTTGTGTCTGGCTGGATTTCAGGACTGTGCCATATGTAGTGTTAATTCTTCCGTCTCCAGGGTCCTTCTCAGAGGGGGTGGGTTCAGTGTTGTTGTCTTGTCCAGCAACTCCAGTTGTCACTCCCCATCAATCCCGATCGGCCTTTTATGTGGCCAGGCTCAGATTGGACACCAGTTATTCCTCCCGTAACGCGTGATCCTCCTTAGCGCGTTTTTGCAGGCTAACGGTTGATTTTTTCAGGACTTGTTTTTATGGTGGGGAGCGGCGTGAATGATGGGAATCCGCGCAAGAGGGTCAGCTTGCAAAGCACCGCTGTCCGTCTCAGTCCATCGTTTATCGCTACCCCGGCCCCCTTTTTTCTGTTGTTGTTAATGGCCGAATTGTCCCCTTACAGCGCGCAGCTTTTCCGCAGCATAACGATCGTATTGTACATCTGCTCAGATAGTTTTCATCTGGTTAAAATCTCTGGCAAGGCACACAGGTTTACAGGCTACACTTTGAATTTCTATCACAGATCAAAACAGCCTCAGTTGCTGCCTGTTTCCTTTATAGTGTGGGATTTTTGTTTTTCCCTGGAATGAACTGCAGCATAGCTAGAAGGCTTCTCTTGTGGGATATTGTACAAATGTTTTGGTTTCTTTTTTCCAGATGAAATGTAATGTTTAGTTCACTGTGTTCATCATCCAAGAATAATTGAATTGTGCCGTATAATCATTTGCTCCTGGACTGCACCACTAGAGAAACTTACCTTCTATCACTGTGCTTCCATTCATTCTTTGCACGTGGATTGTTATATAGATCCAGCTAATTTATCAAATTAATTCAGCAAAACATTATGGTATGGGTTGCCGGTTTAGCAGGCCCTGATGCGTACTTCGTGCTTCCTGGATACTTTTTACACCACCATCAGTTCTTCCATGTGATATTTCATTGGTCTAGGAGGGAGCCATCTCTAAAGCCTGGCGATTATCTCTGCTTACAGTGTGTCGGGCCTGAGTTTTCTTACACTGGTACCTTTCATGTTACTAAGGGTAACACCTTGCTGTTTACCTTAGATAACCCCGGGGAAGGAGAAGACCGGAAGATGGTCAATGCTGTAGCAGACGTGAACAACGTGCAGGGAGACACTGTTTCGGAGACTGAGCCCGGACAGATGGGTGAGTGGAAGCATTTGACGGCTCTCCTTGATGGAGGGGGGGGCGGATGGGAGTAATCATATAGCGAGGAAGCCTTTTAAAATCCCTCTCCTCTTGACTGACAGAGCGCAGCCCCGAGAGCTACCATTGGACCATTTCTCTTGTAAGGCTTGTGACAGATCTCGTTCTCTGCATTGGCGCACAGCTCTTTGTTCTAAATTGCATACCCATCCTGTCAGTTAGATTTGGAAAGTTTCCGTTTTGCATGCAGGTGTGAAACCTTAAGCTTGTATTGGGCAGCATCCGTTTTTATATATGTAGCTGTGCTGCATGTCTCCGCGGAGGAGTTTTTTGGCAGATGAAATGTAAATCATCTTCCTCAAGCTCTCTTGCTATGCATATGTAAATCCCTCTTCACTCACAGTGAGGATAAACGATAATCTGCCTTGGGTAGCTCAGAATCCCTGGACTGCAGAAATGAAATCTTGGAAAATTATACCAGGAAGGCATGCAGAGGGGAATCGGAGCATTTTTTGTGCCTTAGGTGTTTCGTGAAGCATGGCTGGAACAGACGCTCAGTAATTTCAGTCATGGTGCGGGTACCTGTGATCAAAGAACGTCAGCCTTGAATATTGCTGCTTCTTGCTGGAATGCTTGGTTTTCTATTTAGATCGTGTCGTTGGTTGATATTACAGAGTAAGCGCATGATCTTGCTCAGAGGTCTTAGAAACCAGGATACTGCATCTCTGTAAGCTGACCCCGCAGTTTGGTACACTGACCTTTCCCCTGTTGGTCTTTGCAGGTTTCAGTAACCGCTGCACTAGACCCAGGGGTCCCAGAGACCCTCCGAATGAATGGACATGATGACCGCACGCCTCGCATCCGCCTGTACCCTGGAGTCCTCTCGCCTCCTCCAAGTGCCACTGTATATCGAAGACCAGACAAGATGTTCCTCTCTCTTCACCTCCTTTTTGTACTAACACAATCTCGAGCAGTGTAGATCTCGATAACGCAATGGTACATCGCCTGTTGTACATCTGCTGTTTTGCTGGGGGTTCTCAATGCTGGTGCTAAATTTCTCTTTGCTGGGACCATTAACCTGCCTTATTCATTTAGTTAGAAGTATTACAAATGGATTTTTTTTTAATGCAAAAAGTAAATTAAAGTTTTTTTTTCTTACTCTGTTACAGTAATTGTAGACTTGCATTATTATGATACAGTAAGACATTTAATAATAGGGACAGTGGACTACTGTTTATGCTAACTTCTTGATAGCTATATATGCATTGTTTTACAGTTGTACAGGGCAAGTAGGTATATAATGTGACAAATTTACTGTCATTAAATATTCTTATTCACAGAAGATGTAAGAAGTCTCTGCATGATTGGATACTTTGTGTACCATTTTTTTTGTAAATTATTTGCCCTGCTGTTTTAGAAGATATTTCAGGTGTTTTTTTTTGTTATTGTTAACTGCTGGAGATGAAGCCGCCAGCTCCCAGGATAGCATGGGTTAAAGATTGTAATAATACATTTTTGTAAATTGTATTCAAAAGGTTATTTTTATATGATATGCGGTTTTATTCATCAGCCATGTTCTGGTGTACCACTAGCCTTGGAGCCTGTCAAGTGCCTTTGGAAAGTCTGCACCTCTGTTAGTAGCACAGGCACATCACCACGTTTGTGCATCTGGGATCTTTTTTTAAACACTTCCAAAACAGACTTGTTTGTAAGTTGCAGAAATCTATCAACCTGTCAGTAAAGCAAATTTAAGCAACATTTGCCTTTTATGTCTTCACTGGCGTTTTGTATTTCTGTGCTGTAATGGTAGTAAATTATACAATTGGACCGTCTTGACATGTAGTAAAGAGAGTGGCCATCACCTTGTCAATACATGAGCAGCTGTGGAAACTGAGCCCTCATGAATACAAAGAGGCCTGTGGATGGGCCAAAAAACCCTTTGGCTCAAAGAGTGCAGTGCCTAAATAAAACTCTTTTTTTACATAGCGTATTAATGCATGCATCTTATGTTTGACCAGCACAGGTTCTGTAATACCTCCATAACCTGTGCACCTGTATCGCTATGGAAATGCCTTAACGCAAGGCAGCTCAGTGGTACAGTGCCTTGCAACACTGGGACCTTGGGTTCAATTCCTAAGGTGCTGTCTCTGTAGAGTTTGTATATTCTTCCCATGTTTGTTTGGGTTTCCTCAGGGTGCACTGGTTTCCTCCCACAGTCCAAAGACATACTGGGAGGTGAATTGGCTTCTGAGAAAATTGGCCCTGGTGTGAGTGTCTGTGTCTGTTGACCCTGAGATGGACTAAAGTCCCGACCAGGGTGTATCCTGTGCTCATCGCTTGCCAGAACAGAATTCTGGCTGGTGCGTAACTCGGTGTTGGATAAAGGGGTTAGAAAATGGATGGAAGGACTTAATGTCAGCTCGAAAAGTACCTTAGTTGAGCTTGCGGTTTCTTCTGGACAGAAGAAATACCCTGATTTGCCAAATTATCCAATAGAAACTGTTGCTTCGTTGGGCCAAGCAGCTTTCCTGAAAATCTATCCTTAATCGTTACTCTCAGAAAGGACAGGAGGACAGCACAATCGAAATCGAAAGTCTTTACTTTAGAAAAGCAACAAGCATGTTCCTTACATTTAAATTTTAGCTTAAAATGCATTTAATGTTTGGTTAACTTTGTACTGGAGCTGGTTTATTTGGCCTAACTTGAATTTAGATTAATGCAGTCTCAAATCACAAATGGTAATGCCTTTTTTAAAATTTATATAGTGCTGGAAAACTCTGGAACAAAACCCTAGCTCCTCTTGAACTCCAACTAGACTATCCCTCTCCAGGAACTAAGCTAGGCAGTTAAGCTGCTTACAGGTTTCAAAGTAGAAGAAAACCTTTCTCTCAATTAAAAAAAAAACAACTTAAATCCTTAGGTTTGTCAGTGTCAGTGCCCAGTTCCTTTCTCCCTCTTGAGCACATTAAAGGCTCTGCTCTCTTCTCAAAGAGCAGAGAGGCTGACAACCACTGGGAGCCTCTGCTTTTATCACCTGACCATTGCTGTCTTCTAATTGCTCATATGACATGTGACAGCTCATTCCCTGCAGAATTCTGGGGAATGTAGTCCGGGCAAGAGCTACCATCTTGTCTGAACCTACCATCCTACCAAAACTTGTAGAAAGTAAGTATAAATCCCACATTTGTATTAAGATGGAGTTATATGATGTAATACGTGATGTGAAGTCTCCTGACCTAATTAGATTCAAGATGCGCAAAAGATCTGCTTTAACTTAAGAGGACATATCAGACTTGACACATCTAATCTGAAGAAATCAAATTCTGTCAAGAAATACTATTTTATAGCAGCTTTTTCATTCGCTTTATAATGAAAGATGTGCCAAGGTGATTGTGTACAAAGCCACTACTGAAGATTTTTGCATTTGTTTTTATATGAAACCTACCGTTTTGGATGCATATGATTTCTGCCTCATATCTGTTCCTCTCAATGTACTGTGCTTTTCAAGATCCTGTCATCCTCACTGCTTTTCAACACTGCTTGCTTACTGGGCTTGTGTTGAAGGCTCATGTGTGAAGTGTAACTAATGGTTGCTGTTATTGCTTGAATAATAGAGGGAAGATTATATCCTGTCTCAGGATGCAGGGCTCTTGCCATTCTTTTTGTTGGCCAGAAAATTGGCTATTATGGTGCTATAATTGCTAGTAAGACTCCTTGATTTCAGTGTGTGCCAACAGCACCATCTCCTCTGCTGCCTGAAGTCTTAGTTGATTTATTTTGCTAGTATTAAGGATTGTAAGGGGGGAGGGAGACTGAATTCTAGTCTGATCTGGTTATCCGTCTGGCTCATTCATTGCTTCCTTGCAGATTGTGGCTGAGACTACACCCACAGCGCTTTAGACTCATTATGACCTGGTTATTTTAGAATATGTCTTGACCCAATGTGTCTCTGAGCTGCAATTGCTAAATTTGAGCATAGATACACAGTAGACATTGCTTGCAATTGTCTGTACTGCGTTCCTAGAAAAGTGAAGTCCACCTTTAACAAGGTTTCCTGCACTAGAATGCTACCTCACAGTCGGCAACATGCCCAATGAGCTTCTTTCCTTCACTGTTCTCTAGTTTTAGATTTGCAGTTTCTTGGAAACCAAAAGGCTTTTTTTGGGGGGTTGAAATAAAATGTTAATTGCACCCCAGGTATCTTTGTGAAGTGAAACCTGAGTTGTTTTTAATCAATGTTAATGTTAATTTATTTCCTTGACATACAAGAACTTTATGAATTAGCATTGTTGTTTTACGTCTTGTGAAGTGATGTGTTTAAGAAGAGGTTCCGACTGCAAGAAATCTATTACTGAAGCAAAAAACCCAGCATACCTCACTGATCATGATTTCTTTTATGATTTTTGCACCTGACTTCCTTTTCCTGCTGAGCACACTGTAACGCTCATTTTTGGAACAGCTAGGAGGAAACCTGTGCACACCACAAGCTACTGGTTCCAATACTCATTTTTGTGTTTTTAGTGCCTGTCGGTATTTAGTAAAAGTAAGACCAACTTGAGAAATCTGAACTATTTACTTATATAAATACAAGTGTTCTTTATCATCAGTGCAGGATTTTTTTTCCACAAAAATACTGTCAAAGTACTGGATAAATATAGGGAGAATAAGATTTCGGCTCACTAGTAGTTTCTTTTCTAAATGGTAATGGTGACCCTTGCTTAAAACGTACTGTAGGGTTTTTGATCGCTTAACAATGAACGCCGTTCTGAAGAGATTAAACTGCTGCTGCTTAGCTTGCTGATTCCAGAGTGGGTCCTCTGCTGTGAAGTGTCATTTGAGGTGGCTCTCCTGGGAGCAAAAGAAGCCTAGAAGGAGGAAGGACCACAACTGAGCAGCAGCTGAACCTGACGGCCTGACGGGCACCGAACCAAGATGAACAAGACGAAAGACCTTCAATCAAGCCTCTCGTAGTCACTGTTCAGGGACAAAAAATAAAGCAGTGTAAGAAGTGAGTTTCAGGGATGGATGAAGTGGGTCCCCTCCTATTTGAGTAGCACTTTAGGAGGGCTGTACGAGATGCTTTGTCGCAGAGTAGATTTGTTCACTGCAAGAGAGCGGAAAATCAATTAACTCTAATGCAGTTGTCAAAAGATCACTGGAAAGTTGGATCCAGGTTGGGCACCTGCATCCCTGCATGCTGGGAACTGTGTCGATTCTGTGTTGAAAAGTTTGAAGTCAAAGTGTTGAAGAGTAAAGGCTACAAAATCGTCTTAAGCCATGTAGAGGGAGGGAGTATGGTATGTATTTCACTCATCATTGGATTCCTGTCACAGGCAGAGACCTCAGTTACTTTGCCTGTTGGCATCAATGACGAAAACTTCACCTCCAACGTCTATGAATTGATTGCACAATTGGTTCATTGGAATAGAGCTGTTAATGGAACTTCATCAATGCAGTTTAATTATCTGTAGATTTGTAGGTAGCAGTGTGGAGCAGTTGTCAGAGTTCTGGGTTGACCAGGTTCAGCTTGGAAGGTTGTGGGTTCAAATCCCAGCTGAGACACTGCTGTTGTACTTTTGAGCAAGGTATAGTACTTCACTTAAGTTGTCCTCCTAAAACACCCAACTGTATAAATGCAACCGTAAAATCAGCCAATTAAATTTGTAGTATAGAAATTGTTATAATATACATTCAATATCTCTGCATGTAAAAATGTTGATTTTTTTTTAAAGGATTTATTGAGACAAACACTGAGTTTTCCTTTCACATAGAGTTTGGTGAAGTGACCATTAATGCGATGGTTTGTATGGGTCATGATCCGTCATCGTTATGGCGACGGATGTGTGGTTTCCAGGTGTTAAACATTTACAAAATGGCGTTCTTGCCTTCTCTTCATGCTGGCTAACTTCAAGATGCGCGTGTACCGGTTTTGTTGCAAGGCTATATCATAAAGGAATTGAATTCTCAAACCACTGGAGGATAGAATCAGAAGCTCTTGCGGAAACGTTTTTATGACATTCTGCTTCTGTCAACGCCATGCAGCCTCAATACGGAGTATGTGTTTGTGTGGTAGAGACTGTGACCTCCAAAGTCCAGAATGACTGTAAAAGCCAGAGTAGAAGGCAGTGACTTTAAAGAATCTTCAGATTAGATCTCTGTACTACAATATAATGCTTGCAATTTATGGTGAGGGGAATCGGGTATTATTTATTACCCATAACAGGGGCCCTCTCGGTTTAAAAAACATTTTTTTTTTAACTGCACTTGAAAATGTACAACATATGACTTTGTGGTTTCAGCTTTGGAAGCCTTTTACCCTGAATTGTGAATTACCATGAAGGGAGCAAGTAATCATTATACACTGTACATAGCCGTATATATGAGAAGAAAAAGCTAAAGACACATTAACAATTTGCATAAGTGAAAGCTGTGGCAGATGTTTTGAAGCAATTGTGATAAGCACCAGGTATTGTGCAGAACATTAACTGACATTCCTGTTCTGCAACATGCATGCACTAGTGAAAGTGTGTCAATAGTATTTCCTGTGACGCTGGTGCCGGCTGTAATGTCATCTGGCTTGACAGCACTATGGTGATGGAATTCCCTGCAAGTCTGAGTAGTGAGGTTTAGCTGCTGGGTCACAAGCCGCAATTATAGTAATGAGAACATGCCTCTGCCTACTCATTACTAAATCCACCTACACTCTTCAGTCATTCAGTGTGTGTTTCCAGGTTGAACCAGACTCCGTTAACATCCTG